CCACTGGTCACAGGGCACCATGACGATTGACTTTCATGAATTACCACGGTCTGGGTTCAACCGTGGTGCCAGTTCTCCAGCCAGCAGATCATTGTGGACCCCAGGCCACAGTTGGCCAGTTTCACCAAGAGGTGATCATGGGATACTGGATCGAAGGCTTTTTTGAAGTCAAGATATATGACAGCAATCTCTTCTCCCTTGTCCAGGTGATAGGTCACCTGGTCGTAGAAGGAAATGAGATTGGTCAGGCAAGACCTACCCACAACAAACCCGTGCTGGCTGTCCCTCAGGATTATGAGTGTGAAGAGCTCCTAGCATGCAGGGCTCTACTTGCTGCTTGTGCTCTGTTGGTGCTACCACTAGTTGCTCCTTACTGATTCATTCTCCACTTGCTTATGGCAGTTTTAAGAGGCAGGCAGGGGACTCGGCTTCCTCCAGCCCTGCCTTGCCCCAGCTTGTCAGCCGGTGTCTTTCTCTTGTCCTGCTGCCCCTGGTTCTCCCTGCTTGTTGGAAGTAAATTATTAGGGATGCTCCCTCCTGTGTGGAGGGAACAGCTTTGCACGTGAATTAAGGTGCTGGGAGCCAGCTGGCCTGAAACTACCCCTTAGGGCAGGGAGATGCTTCTGAAAGCACAGGGGCCAGTCCTCCGCTGGTGTGAATGGCCAGCCTCAGTCGAGCTGTGGCGGTTCACAGGCAAGGATCTTCCCTGTCTCAGCACCTGCTCATTAATGGCATAATTATTCCCTGGTAGAGCTGTGCCTTCCTGCTCATAGCATCCATTGTGCTCGCACTCATTAAGTACGTGTGCTAATTACACCGATGCAATAACAGAATGCCACTTACTCAGATGGCATTTCTGGGGTAGGATTTTTCTCCTCCCCATCTCACCTCACTTTAATGAGCTGTCTCCAGGTTGGTGCGTTGTTTATTTCGTTTGATACATTCCAAGCCCGTGCGAGTATCCCCCGGCAGCTTCCTTTTGACTCACGTTTTCTCTCTCTCTCAAGTTGCTAACCTGAAACCTCGCTGCTGCTGAAGCTCTGTGCCATTCTCATAGCTCCTGCCATGGATTTTCCCAGGGTAGAAATGGACGGTGGCACGAACAAGACGATCTTGTCCTTAATGAGCCATAAAAGGAACGTGACGTATTCGGGCTACTACCAGCACTCCCCTGCAGTGGCTGCCATCTATATCATCGCCTACGTGTTCATCTTCACCCTGTGCATGGTTGGGAATGGCTTGGTGTGCTTCATCGTGCTGAAGAACAGCCGGATGAGGACCGTCACCAACCTCTTCATCCTCAATCTGGCTGTCAGCGACCTGCTGGTGGGGATTTTTTGCGTGCCTACTACCCTGGTGGACAATCTGATTACAGGTAAGGGTGATGCTAAGGGCTGGTCAGCAGCCTTCTGCCTAGTGGAGTTCATGATGCTGCCAAGTGCTTTGAGCACAGGACTGCACAGTCCCTGCTCCCTTGGTGACCTCAGGGAGACGATTTCTGCCTCCTAGCCCCTGGCTGCAGAAGGATGTTGCATGGGAGTGCTCTGTGCAGTGGACCCCCTAGGACCCAGCCACTATAAGAACAGCACCAGGTCTCCATCAATCAGTGCTTGAGGGTGTAGGGGTCCAGGTGGTTCATCTGGGGTTGTATGAGGCCTAGAAATCAAGGGCAGCATTTGCAGCCCTGCAGGCCTTAGGCAAGGGGCCAAATCCCTGTAGCAGTGCTGGGAGGAAGGCTGTTTCATTTTTGCAGGAGCTGAGCCCCTGCTCCCTGCACTGAGATCCCTGGGATCGACACCCACTTGGCACCTGTGAAAATGAGACTGGTGCCCCCGGGCATGCTCATGGCCACGTGGAGACAGCTGTGCAGTGGGCACTTGAAGTGCTTTAGGCCTGCTCCAGCTTGGTACCTGGTTTTCCAGTGTACTTTGTATCTGACTTTCATGTCCCATGGCAGCTTTGGAGTTGCTGCAGTGAATCCCACTGAAGAGGCTCTGTTTGTGTCCTAAGCTGTCTCAGCGGTGCCTGTTGCAAGGTTTAGTGTCATTCCCACAGGCCTTATTAAGCACCTGATGAGCCTGGTACCTGAGCTGCCCACTAAAGCATGCCTGCATCAGTGGGGGGTGAGTAGCTAATGGTTTCCCTCTCTAGCCTTGGAGTGCCTATGAATGATGCCAGAGGGGTCAGGTGGGAGGCCAGTGGTATCTGTGTGTCAACGCAACCAGGGAAGAGAAAAGGACTCTGTCTAATGCATCCAAGCCTCTTCTGTCACCAGCATCCATGCTCTTTGGAGAGCTGGGATACAGCTGGTACAGAGAAATGCATTTCATTCCCTCTAGCTGCTAAGTGGATTCTGTGCTTGCAGACAGGACAGCCTCTGCCCAGGTGCAGCAGCAGAGATACAGCACAAACTGCCCATGCACAACCCTGCCAGGAGATGTCAGGGCTGACCTGCCGTGTCTCCTGCCCCTTGGAGTGCTGCCTGTGCATGCTCCCTGATGCTCCATGTCCTGCACCCATGCAGTCCTACTGGGTCACGGTGCCAGCTGCTCTGGCTGTGGGTCCCGCACGGCTTTGATGGTGCATCTGGTACCTGGCCTGCAGCAGCCCCAGTGATTCCCCACATAGGCCTCCTTCACACAGCTTGACGAGGCCCCTCCATTTGGTGTTGCCAAGCCCCATGCTAGTCCAGGCTGGGTGTTTGCCATGTCTCCCAAGTCTGCCAGGGCTTCTCAGCCTGAATTCTCACAGGAAAACAGATGATGCTCACTTGCTGAGTTCTTCTGAGGTGACTGCTGCAGAGCTAGAAATTGCCATCAATAGCCACTCAACAAGACAAGGACTTAATGCCCAAACCACTCTCAAGTTGCATGATGCAGAGCTGCTCAAGCCTTTCCTAATTCCCTTGCATGTGAGCTCCTGTATTAACTTTAAATGTGTTGTGGTGGCTGAACTGTGAGCACATCTCACCCTGCATCTTGTGGGCTTATGCCTCATTTGCCCTGTCGGTTCTCTCCTAGGCTGGCCCTTCAGCAACGGAGTCTGCAAGATGAGTGGGCTTGTACAGGGCACGTCTGTCTCCTCCTCTGTGTTCACGCTGGTGGCGGTTGCGGTGGACAGGTAAGAAGGGGCTGCAGGAGAGCAGCACCAGGCACCGAGGCTCCCCCATCTCTTATGCCACAGAAGGTGGGTTGGGTGCCAGGGCGTCCCCAATGTGTCTTTTGTCTCCCATTGAGATCCATGGGGAAAAATCCTTTTGGATCCAGAGCAGAATTTTTACCCACAGCGCCTGCCTTAGCAGCTCTGTGGCCAGAGAGGGCCACTGGGTGCCAATGCAGACACTTGCCCCTATAGCGCAGAGTGAGTAGTAACCAGAACAAGGTCTGAATTTGCAGGAGTGCTCTAGCAAGGAGAAGCTCTGCTTCCCTTTATCACCCCTGAGCCACTCGGTCCCAACAGGCCAGGCCTTGCTTCTCTGTGATGCCATCCTGAGGTTGAGCGTCTCTTGCATCTGTGATAACTTTGCAAGACAATTCTGTTTAATCAAAAAATCAGTTACTTGGAGAACAGTTGGAAAGGAGCTGGAATGACAGCTCGGGAGTTATTCAAAATGAAAGCAACCAGAATGAAAAGGTTGTTTTCCCTCCCTTCTGTGTGTTAATCGTTCATAACTGTGCATCTTCTAGCAGCAGTGCAGTCTGGAAGGAGCAAACTGTCATTGGCACTGGAAGCAAGAGTACTTGATCTGCAAACTTAGCCTCTGGGATCTAGCCTGAGAGTTTGATCGTGTGAGCAAACCTGAGCTAGGCTGTGCAGAAGTGAAGGGGAAGCCATCAGCTCTGCCTTCCTGCTTCAGGGTGATGCCAACCTCTCAGTGACAGGGCTTGTGCAGAAAATTTCCCCTGGGACTAGGGATTTCATAATTGCCTGCTGCAAGGTTGCTGAGGCAGCTGGTATTGCGTACTATGAAGATATGGAGCTAGACTGACCTCTGGACTAAGCTCAAGCGGCCACCGCTGTGTTCCTCTGCTCCTGTGTCCCAGCTCCTTTCTAGAACAAATGAAAACTTCCCTGTTTTAAACAGAAAATGAATAGTGCCCTGCCCGTCAATCTCACCTGCCCTTGCATTGCTTCTGCCCCAGGTTCCGCTGCATCATCTACCCCTTCAAGTCCAAGCTCGGCCTGCTCACAGCCCTGAACACCATTGCCATCATCTGGGTCCTAGCCATCACCATCATGTGCCCATCTGCTGTCATGCTCATGGTGGCACAGGTGGAGGACCACTACATTGTCTATGGCCACAACCAGAGCCTGGCCTCCCCCCTGTACTCCTGCTTTGAGGCCTGGCCCAACAGTGAGATGCGGAAGGTCTACACAACCGTCCTCTTTGCCCACATCTACGTGGCCCCCCTGACCCTGATCATGGTCATGTATGGCTGGATCGGGATCAAGCTCTACAAGTCGTCAGCCCTGGTGAGTCGGCACCGGGTGGAGACCCAGGAGCGCAGCGGTGCCACCGTCTCCGGACGCAAGGTCAAGGTCATCAAGATGCTCATCCTAGTGGCCCTGCTCTTCATGTTGTCTTGGCTGCCCCTGTGGACACTGATGCTGCTCACAGACTATGCCCAGCTGGATGATGCCCAGCTCCAGCTGCTGACGGGCTACATCTTTCCGTTTGCACACTGGCTGGCCTTCTCCAACAGCAGCGTCAACCCCATCATCTATGGCTACTTCAACGAGAACTTCAAGCGGGGCTTCCAGGCCGCTTTCAAGTTCCAGCCCTGCTCCCACGAGACGGGGCCTCATGAGGCCTATTCTGAGAGGCTGACTGCCAGCACCACCGGCTTCGGCGCCCGCAACAAGGTCTTCACCAACGGCGAGCCCTCCGACTTCCTCTGCCTCAAGACCCTGCCTGCCAAGGGGCTGAGCCCAGCACAGAATGGACAGGCCCGGGCACCGGGCCTTCCCCTGGAGGAGATCAGCAAAATCACCCCCCTGAGCAAAGTCTGCAAAGCCTGGGATGTGTGACGCTTGTGGCTGGATGGGAATGACTTCATGTCAGGAGTGTTTTTGTCTCTTTCCACCGGCAAATGCTGGGTGTGTCTGCTGCTGTGATGTGTTTGCCGTGGGCAGTGTCTCTCTGCCAGAGCTGGGTCTCTCGTGTGCCACATCCCATTTGTAAATGCAAGGCAAACCATGTGGGCAGTTGTCATTCGGTGTTCCAGCTAATGCACACAAGGCTTTGTCAGCCGCTTCCAGTGTCTAGCAGGGACCAACTGAGCACGCTGTGTCAAATGTCTGTGTCATTAAAGCTACTGCTCCACGCGCCACTCCTCTGGTCTGCTGCCAGACTCCTGCAGGCAGAAATCCACTTAGAAATTTTGGGGTTCAGTTTTGCATTGGAAAAAGTGATGAGTTTGGCCAGCTTACAAGTTCAGCTCTCTCACGGCTGATGAAGCAGCCAAGGTCTCTCTCTAGTTGCCCTTTTGCTCTAGTGCAGGAGCTGTATTATTCCAGCAGCTGTACAGTCTAATGCACAAGCTGTGAAGGGGGCAGAGCGACGAAAAATACAGGGTCCTCATAAAGTCCTTGTGCACTTTTAAACTGTAATAACTTAGGTTGCAGGTAGGATAGAAACAATCTGTAAATGGCATTTAAAAGCAAATTTATTAAACTTTTAGAACAACTAGAGTACACAATGGTTGACTTCAGTATAACCACCAGCCATCATGATACAGTGCTCAATCCGATCTTCCAACTCCTTGAAAATATTTCCCGGTTGCTCTTGAGTTGCTGCACTAGTTGCACTGGTGATCCTAGCCCTAAGTTCCACCAAAGAACATAGTTTTGACAAGTAAACGATGCTTTTAACACGTCCCCATAAACAGAAGTCCAGCGGTGACGGGTCAGGTGAACAAGGTGGCCAAGCAATTGGTCTGCCTCTGCCTATCCACTTCTCTGGGAAAACATCATTTAGGAACTGTCGTACATTCAGAGTGTAGGGGCACAGAGCTCCACCTTATTTAAGAAAAAAATTCGTTATTACTTATGAAGTCTAGCATTGTGTACTCTAGTAGTCCTAAAACTTTAATACATTTGCTTTTAAATGTCGTTTACAGACAGTTTCTATCATACCTACAACCTAAGTTATTCACGTGTAAAATTGCACAAGGACTTTATGAGGACGCTGTACTTAGCCTTTTTGACTAAGCTCACTTCAGCACTGAAGCAACAGAAATGTAAGCCCCCATCCAGTAAAGCTCTTCAACATATGAGTAGTCAATTTGCTTTTCATTCTTGGCTCCTTCTGGAGTAGGAATGTGCACCAGTTAAACTACATGGGTGTTTAAAAAACCTCCGTCAAGTTAAACTGGGGCAAACCCCTAACAGAGAGAGACCTAAAAAGGCTTAACCCTTGTATAAGCCTGTGTAGGGTGTCAGGAAACTACCCAGGAATGGGTGAGAGTTTTGTGTGTCCCTGTTATGGTTTTGTACTGGTAAGAGTGGGGTGTCACCAATTCTTGTCACCAGTTCAGTTCAAGTGGTGCACTAATGTAGCACAGACCAGGCATTTTGCTCAATGAGAGTTCTTCCGTGCCTGGAAGGGATGAACTACTGAATCAGCTGAGTAACAGTGGCACCAACACCTGTGCTGTGGTGTAAATCCAGAGCAACGGCATTCACCTCTGGCCATTGACTCCTGTGTCGCACCGCTCAGATTTTGCCCCAGGCTCTGCCCAAATTGCCAGTTGCTGGTGGGCAGCCAGTGTGATCTGGATGTCCAAAGGGACCTACCCTTCCAGAGCCTGCAGTCCCGCTGGCAGGGTGCAAGCTTCTGGCACTGGCCCTTGGAGAGTTCCCTGATGAGTGCCATTGTCCCCCTGAACGGGCAGGCAGCTTGTCCGGCTGCTAGGACACATGCTTATTATGGTCTTCGGTGCCTGGGTGTCTGTTTTTTTGAGGAAGATTAGCTCAGACAAATGGCACACTCAGCAGCATGATCATTGCCTGTTAGATATAATCTGTGCTAATTGGTTCATGTCTATTCATAACCATGCCGCTGGAAAGACATGAATTCTGCAAGCTCCTTGCTTTGCTGCACCCCTGCCTCTGGCTCCGACAGGACAGCTGCACAGGGAGGCCTGGGGCAAGGCAAGTTTGCCTTTCCCCTCAAATCCTGGGATCTGCAGCCTGGAGAACTGTGTGAAGGGCTGGAGAACAGTAAAGGGAGATGGTGGGCCTGGAGGCAAAGGCAGACAGGATGGAGCATGCAGAGGACAGAGGCTGGAGACCGGCGGCTGCCTGCTGCTCTTTCCCTACAGGGAGCCTTCCTGTTAATGGTGACCCTCTCATTTTAATACAGAAAACCAGGCCCTGGATTCCAGCCGCTGGCCTGAGACATCACTACGTTTCAGAGGGCTGTGGGGTACTCACGCTGTGTGCGCTGCCCCTTTCACAGGCTGATGGCAGCTCTCCTAAAACAACCCCCTCCCTCCATTTTCCAACAGCAACTTTCCACCAGCATTTTGGGGACCATGAATCTCACGTGTCTAAAAGCTTGAAGAACATGTTGGAGCCAAGTGAGCGCACTGTGAAATACCAGGTTCAATGAGCTTTCCCTGTGCCGGCCAAAGGAATCAGCAGAGGGTCAGCCCAACCAAATCCTTCCTTGTGCTTCTGGCAATGGCACTTGGGAGGAGCATTTGTATTTTTTTTTGCAAACCTGGGGCTGTCTCTTTCTGCTGCAGGTGCTGTCTTCTACCCTCCCTGTTGAAGAGAGCCTCATTGCTCTGTTGTATCTATCATGAGTGACTGCACAGTGGGTCAGGAAGGAGGCTGTGAGTCAGGCTTCTGCCTGTTGTCCAGTAAATTACATTTGAAGCCTAATCCCTGTTTGCCCAGCCTGCTGGAAAGAAGGTAACTGGCCACAGTGCTCAGTGAATCTATTACCGGCTGGTAGAAATAGCTCCTGGGGCAAACAGCCAGAAACTGTGCAGTCTCTTCTATCACGCAGGGAGGATGGGTCTAACACAGACTAGCAACGAACCACGTTCAGCCACTTAGTCTTGGATGTCTCTCTCGCTTTGTTGACTCCTCCAGAGGAGGCCTTTAGAAACAGAGGCATGAGCCCCTCTGACAGCACTTCATTTACAACCTACAAACAGTTGTGCTCTGTGTTGTTGCCACTGCATCTTGTCAGCGCAGGATCCTAGTGGCACACGATTACATTTGCTTTTGTTTTGCTCATTGGATGGTTATTACTCCCCATCAGTTGCCACGGCGGGGATGGGACTCGCTGGAAGATGCCAAGGCAGTAGGCACATCCTCAGTTCTCAAAGACTGTGGCCAGGGGCAAAGTGCAGGAGTGAAATTTTAGCTGTTCCAGCAATGCAGGGTCCTGTTGCGTGGCCTTTCCCCCCACCATGGAGGTCCTGGCTATAGGGAGGTTCTCGTGCAGGCGTTTGGTGGTCAGGGCTCTGGGCTATTTTACCTCCTACGTGCATTCCACATGAAAAATGCTGAGTGGCTGTAGGGATACGGGGGCACAGGGTCGGCCTGGGTGTTCCCTGCTCCGCTTTCCCGTGCTTTGAGCTGAGGCTGTCTCCCTGCATGTGTGCTGCAGGGCATTTTGCTCTCTGGTTGGTCATGGAGTGGGACACTGAGAGGAGAGGGGAAGGTCACTCTGGATGGGATTGGCCAGGTTGCATATGCCGGCACTCTAGGCATTAGCAAGTGGGAGTAGCTAGGTACTCACTAGCCAACATAGCTGGTCCTTCAGATCAGCCCTGCATGCCTAGTTCTGTTGCATGCCATCCCATTGAGAAACAGGCTACTGCTTGCACCGTCCCAACGCTTCACTGGAGAGCCTGGGCTTCTGCCAGGTCTGGTCGCACAGAGGGAGCCCATGTAACCTAAGGGCAGCAAAATCCAATCTTCACACAGCCTAGGTGAGTTCTAGCAGTCAGAAGGTGGTGAGGCAGTGCCGTGGGTCCCAGCCTGCTGGCCTGCTTCTCCTGTGCTCAATTATCCCTTTGCCTGTTGGCAGCAAGTGCCTGACTGCAGGTTCAAAGACGTTCATCTCTGTTGAAAAGCTTTGATCGCACACCCACGCTGGATGGGAGCAAACTCTGCTTCACACGCCCACGCTAGATACAAGCAAACTCTGCTTCTCCGCTTAGAAGATGAAAGGCCAACCCCACCTGTGAAGTGCCTGGCCAGAGAAGCAGGCCAGGGAGCTGAGAAGCACTTAGCAGCGAGCGTCGGGACAGCTGTGCTCCAGCAGGCAGGAGAGAGCTGGGGCTGCGGGCAGTCCTGTGAACAGGAGCAAGAACAATTCAGAGCGGAGGGACGTGGCTCCAGGACACAAGGTGCGTAACACAGGTCTGGTGAGCGGCTGGGATCCCCCGTGCTGGGGAGCTTGTGCAAAGCAGGCCTGGGAACGTCCTGCTCCATGGTGTGGGGTCCAGAGTGGGCAGTCACAGCGCAGTGGATATCCAAGTGTTCAGCCCGGGCCCCAGGGACCACATTGGCAACAGTGGTCATGTGTGACTTGATGGGGATAAGAACTGGCCGACAGTTTGCTCATCTGAGAAGCGGGAGGGTGATGATGCTTCCCTAGCTCAGCAGAGTGGTGGGAGGTTGGATAAGTAACGTGCTAGGAAAGGCTTGGATGAGAGCAGCTTTGCAAGCACCAAATGCTGCTGTGTGAGCACAGTTAAGAAAGAAAACCCACTCAGACCCACCCTGTGGTTGCACGTGGGGCTCTTACTGGCTTTTGCTGATAGTTTGAAGCACAGCCCACCCTGACGTGTGCACAGGCATGTACTGAGAGTCGTGCTGCTTGTGTGCACAGCAGAGGGGGTCTCTGGGAGTATGTGTGTCTGTGAAGCACAGCTGGGATTGATCTGGTGCTGCCTACAAGCCCTAACTGAGACAGGGGATCCCACTGCACGAGGGACTTCACGGTGCACTGTGAGAGATGACTTTGGGTGCCAGCTCTCACAGCAGACAGGCCAGAGGTGGGAGCTCCATGTTCAAACCCCTTCTTGCTGTCAGAGAGCCTCATTCAGATTCCAGGAGCGTGCCGGTCATTTTGGAGCAGGTGTTCACCCAGCGACAATACGCACACCAGGCTCCCGCTGCCAAGAGCTATACGTGGTGAACAGGAGCCCAGCCCAGCTCTGCCCCGTTAGGAGAAGAGACCCATTACAGCTGGTCGCGTCCACTGTCACACCATGGCATGGCACACTGGGCCCCTGGGCTCAATGCCTTGACTCTGCAAGCCCCGTTTCCCTCTGATAAGGTGCTGTTGCATTCCTGACGCCACGAG